CGTAGCTCATCCTGGAACCTGGGCCACGAGATGAACTCACCTGCTGCTGCATAGGCCCGCTCGGTCCATTCCCACCACTGGAGCGCATCCCCTTCGAGATAGAAGGATGCCAGGTGCGCCTTCCTCTCTTCTCGGATCGGGTGGTTCCGGAACCACCTCTCAGCTGCATACAACCACAAACCCACATCTCCCGAGCCGCCGAATTTGGGAAATTCTATCACTGGCGGTTTAGCTCTAAATACCAATTCCTCTTCATTCTCATACAGAGGGTTATGGTACTCATACCTGCCTGTGTTCGGTGGTGGTGGCGGGTTCCGTGATCCTTGACGGTAGTGGCTGCCCGCTGCTCGCTGCGGGGGAGGGTGGGGCCAGTCGCCCGTGGCCTCCTGATGGTTCCCCTGGTACTCAGGGTGGGTCCCCGACCCTTGCCCCATATCCTGCCAAACTGGACCGCGCCCTCCTCCTGTCCGCGGGGTACTCCACGGGGGATATCCGTACTCCGGGCCCTTGCCGGGACCCCTGCTCGGTCCATACCAGCTGCTGCCCGACTATGCATAACCCGGACCGGTTCGGTTCGGTCGGTCCGACCGGTTTCGGTCCGACCAGGTTCGGTCCGCCCGGTTTCTACCCGACCGGCTGGCCACCTTGTACCCAGCCCGGTTTCGATCCCGCGACCCAGCCCCATCTCGCCTCCTCTGGGCTCGGGTCCATCCAGCCTTCCGGGTCACCAAAACTCAACTCTTCCTCCTCGGGCCAGGGTTCTTCTCTGTCAGGCCCAAACGACAATGGCTCGCCTTCGTACCCGGCCATCTTCTGCTTTCCCTAGGCCTTGTCTTGGGCCAGGTCCGTCGGAGTTGGTAGCAGGCCAGGCCCGCTGAATACAGGCGCGGTTGCAGACCTGGCGCCCGAGTTTCCCGGCGCCCCGCCCGCCGCAGCCAGCACCTGCGTCGTCCCGGCCTCGGCCCCGCCGCCCGGCGGCTTCCCCTCCGCCTCCGTCTCCTCCTGCCGCGCGCGCGCCCCGGCCTGCCCTATGTCCGCGTCGCCGCGCGGGGCCCCCTGCGCCCCCGAGCCCGCCGCGGCTGCCGCCGACGGCTTCACTCCCGCCGCGGTGGCTGTTGCCGGTGCCGCCCCTATAGCCGGAGCCGCCAACGGCTCCCGGTTCTTCAGGACTTGGGTTAGCACCTCCTGCATCGTCGCTGCCAAGGCTCCGCAGATGTTTTCAGCCACGCTCTTGCCTATCTCTTCAATAGAAGCCTTGATCTGGTCGCCCATGGCTTCGATTGCTCCTATCGAACCCTTAGAGGCCTCAGCTGCCCTCACAGTCACCTCCGTTAAGCTCTCCAACGATGCTGCCAGCGCATCGTACTTGTTCGTCGTCACATCCTTGACTGTTACCACCTCCTTGAGCTGGCGCTGCGGTTGTTGCTTGTCCACCGGGTTCGACATCTTCAGACTGCAGTGTTTCTTCAGAGAATCGGCACACCAGCCAGGCTCTGATACCACTGAAAGAGCACGGATCTAGGTGTGCGATTGATGATCGTGATTGGTATGAGAATTAGGGATTTGGGATGAGGTAGAATTTGGGAATTAGGGTTGAGAGAAGAGGTTTCCGGGCACCGGGATGGTGGCCGACGAGTTGGAGAGGGGAGAGGGAGTTCGGCGGTGATGGGGAGAGAGAGAGAGACTTAGGGAATAATTCTGTTGTTATTGCTTAACCCTAACTCATGCCTAACACAGAATATATATAAACCGACTAATTCCCTCTAGATACCCAAAGACTTAACCTAACCGATTTAACCCCCATAATTCCCAAAATAGTCGACATAATATAAAACGTCAAATAACAAATAAACCCCAAATTACTAATTGTCTGACACATCCTGACTCTGCCAAGGGAATCAAGGATCTGGTCTCGACGACGAGTATCGATAAGGACTTGGCTCAAGGATGGCGCATGCTTGATTATGTAAGCAGCAAGTTCAAGTTGATGACTACGATCAAGAGTTCCATGCTTCGGATTTGGATGTACCCCGTATAGTCGAAGCACCTGCAGAGAGGGATGCTTCCAGTTCCAGGTCCAATGACTCTGCATCCGGGTTTCGCAGCCTGTCCCATCTTTTTGCCCCATCAGATGAATCCTTGAACCATATGGATAACTCACGCAACATTGGAGCTGCCCTTAGGAGGATGGTGCTTTCCAAGAAACGTGGAGACACGTGATCCATATATATGAACAAATCCATCTCTCTAAGCTTTTCAAACTGCAACCACTTGGGCATAGCTACAAGATGAGGAAGGAAGTCACGGCTCTTGATTTCGAGTCCAAGGCGCCAGAGGCGGATCTCGGATATAGTAGAGCACTAGGTCGAATTTCATTAAAAAATTAGATACCATAAAAAAATTATAGGTTTTTTTACAATATCAATTGTACACATTGATCTTTTAATATAGCGAATTCATCAATAATGGAGTTTACATCCATACCAATAACATATTACTCTCATTCAAATAAAATAGCTAACCAATCAATGAAAAATTCATCTCTCATTTTCTAGCGCAAATCTTATTTCACTTGTTTCATTGTTGAAAAGGTTTTCTCCATAATAGCTGTTGAAACAGACAATGTCAATACTAGACAAATCAATTGATTAATCAATTTGTATTGCGTGTTCATCCCTATTTTCATCAACTGCTCTAGTAATTTTTCAAGAGAACAAACCTCATAGTTCATTTAGTCTTTTACGTTTTAGACATTTAGAATTTACATTGTTTGTTTTTCTTTAGAAAGGAATCATTCGAGTTAGAATTTCTACGCTAAATTTAGAGTTGTGATGTGAATATGTTCATCTATCCCATTTTCCCAATCACACAATCTTATTATAAAATAACACTAGACCTAAAATCAATAAACTCATAAGGACTGTAATAGCTCCGGATTCAGAAGAGGGCTGGCCGAGGCCCGGGGTGGCCACCCCCTGAATCCGCCACTGCAAGGCGCTGTAATCGAGGTCCAAACTTGTTGAACTGATAGCGAGTCCATGGAAATAAGCAGCCTGTACAAGAGAACAATGTCTCCTGAAGTTGAGGAAGGTCATCCCGGTATTCGACCCACAAACCACTGTACCCTCTAAGCTTGAAGGTACGAAGACGAGGGGCGGAGATGAGCTCGATCCTAGCAACGCACCAAAGTTCGCCGATGTCCAAACACTGGAGGTTGTTGTCAGAACAGACTCTTAAAACTGCTAATTCTCCGACATGGGTCGGTTGGAAGTGATCGACTGCTCGTTGGGAGACATCCGAGACGCCATTGATCTCCAAAACCTCGAGGCGGCTGAGGTCGTGCTTGGAGAGGAACTGATAGCGAGTCCATGGAAATAAGTAGCCTGTACAAGAGAACAATGTCTCCTGAAGTTGAGGAAGGTCATCCCGGTATTCGACCCACAAACCACTGTACCCTCTAAGCTTGAAGGTACGAAGACGAGGGGCGGAGATGAGCTCGATCCTAGCAACGCACCAAAGTTCGCCGATGTCCAAACACTGGAGGTTGTTGTCAGAACAGACTCTTAAAACTGCTAATTCTCCGACATGGGTCGGTTGGAAGTGATCGACTGCTCGTTGGGAGACATCCGAGACGCCATTGATCTCCAAAACCTCGAGGCGGCTGAGGTCGTGCTTGGAGAGGAATTCAGGGGTGAAGAAACGGAAAGAGAGCCAATTGATGGAGGAAGAGTGGAAGGACAATAGGGTGAATTCTTTGACTCTCTTGGTAATAACCCGAATTCTATCCACCTGCAAACTTCCATTTTACCCAGTTGGAACCCTATTTTCAAGGCGTCCAGGTCTTTAGGGGTGGGCAACGGGACGGGACGGGATACCCGTCCCATTTGAAACGGGTTCCCAGTCCCGTTTGGAGACCAAAGTTCTTCCCATATCCCAAACCCATATGAAAAACGGGTACCCATTACCCGTACAGGACGGATAACGGGTACTCATACTACCCAAAGTTTAAACCACTAAAATTTTAACAAAAGTTTAAACTTAATATTCTTAATTAGCACAACAAATTAGAACAAACCTAACAAGTAATTAGGAGTCCAGAATATGTAAGCAGAAAAGAAAAGAGAACGCCAAATCAACAAACAACCCAAATCAAGAAGAATCAACAAACCAAATCTAACTAGTAATTAACAGAACAAACCAAATCAACAAACAACCCACACACCTTAAACTATGCTGAAAATTCAAAATTCCCAAGGGGAAATAAGAAAAGTTTCTCGTTCCTTCAACGGAGCTCAAACCTTAATACCAGCGGGATTTCCATCAGTAAATTAGTAGTGTGCTTTGCTTAATTTCACGGAGCTCAAACATAACTAGTAATTAGCAGAACAAACCTAACTAGTAATTGAGTCTTTGAGCAGAGCTGCCGCCGGCTGAGAGCTGCTGGACGTTCGCGGACGGTGGACTCGCGGTGCTCCTGGCTGACTGCTGCTGGTCTGCTATTGAATGGATTGGAGGCGGCGCAGCAGAGTGAGAAGAAGGAAGCCGCTACGGTTATGAAGGAGGAAGCGGAGGCGCGGAGCTAGGTCTCGGCCGTCTCGCTGTCACTGAGACGCTGACTCGGTGAGTGCTTGGGCTGGGATGTGAAAGTGAAAGGGAATTGAAAGGGTAACTGGGTAAGGCCGAAATGGGCTGGGCTGTGCTGGGTAATTGATTTCTGAATTAGTGAATTGGGCTAAGATGTGGGCTTAAATGAATTTCTATTGAATGGGTATAACGGGTACCCACATTATCCAAACGGGTATTTGCGGATAACCCGCGGGTACCCATATTAGCAATGTACAATCCTAAGTCCCATCCATAATATTACGGATAATATGGGTACCCGTAACCCTTAAAAAAACTGGACGGGTACGGGTATACCCAAGTATCCATTTCCCGTTGCCCACCCCTACAGGTCTTGATGAGGAAGGGAAGTCAGGGTTTGGTCGACCCGAATCGATGCAGTTCTTCAGGTTGGATACAGAACACCAGCTCGTTCTGCCCCCACAGTAGCTCATCCGACTTGTCGAAATCCAGGACCTCGCCGGGGATCGATCGCCATATATTCCGCCAACGTTTAGACAGCAGGCTGCTGCATCTTACAACATCGTGCACTGTCCCTGTCCCGGAAATAATCTCCAACACTAGTTCCTCAGACAGCTCCCTCGACGACGACGACATTGCAAAGCAATAGATTTCCTGCAGCCGACCGAAATATAATCTTAATCTTGCCCTCTCTCTGTAATCTCGTACTAGTACTGACTTAGACAGTAATTCGTATAGCCTCTCTCTGTGTATATGTTTTGTGTTGATACTTCTTTTCTCTCTCGGATTCGAACTTGTACGGCACCAGGATTCTTTGTGCCTGGTGTATTTGGGCCAACTACTTATAGGTTCACCCCATGCCATGTAGCTGAAGCACCTCCAGGAAGGGATGCTTCTTGGATCATGTAAAAGGTTGAATCATATGGATAATTCACGCAACATTGGAGATACAATATAGTTTATTTCTCAAAATCAAGTAATCAATCAATCAATTTTATCACCTAGCAAATAAGGATACATGTATACAAAGCAGCATACAAGGGCCAAGGCAAACTACTACAGAGGCCTCAAAAGAACTCATTTTTGACGAGGAGCTCACCAGTCGATGAATCGAACTCGGCTTCAACTACAGAAGAGCAGAACCCACCTGGGTTCCCTCCATCGATTCCCACCATCGCTGGCTTCGCCAGCAGTTTCACGCCTTGCTTCCACCACCTCTCATCTAAACAACATCGACGAAAACAAGCATTGAGCTCACAGTGAGCAGATTTTGCACAATAATGGAATCTGGATGAAAAGTGGCGCGTGGAAGAGATAATTCATAGCAGTTACCAGGTCCAGTGGAGATCACCACTGAATTGCTTGCATCCATAACCCAATCTATCCACAGCACGTATCCATGGCATATTCCAGGCTCCACAAACCTGACCTGCAGTCAACGAGAAACCACAACTATAAATCTACAACCCAGTAGCGCGTTTATGTGAATATGTCGAGCCTATTTGGTCATGCCATAGCTTTTTCCAAATGGAGCGTTTCTGACTGGAGCATTTAGAAAGGTCCAGTTCGAAAAAGTTGGATGGGTGTTTGGTTGATAAGCTGATAGAAGTATTACACAGTCATTTATTGTAGATCAAGGTAGGTCCTTTTTCTTCCTTACCTCTGCCTTTCCGTTGCAAGAAGTTATCGGTTTCGTGAAGTCGAACTCCATTATGGTGAATGCTTCGCTGAGTTTCTGAATAAGATGATTACCAGCGTCAATGTCACAACCATGATCATATAGATGTGCTCAATGACGAAATGAAAGAGGTAAAGGAATCACCTTGATTTCTCCACATTGCCAGATAAAGAAGGGCAGAAGCGGACCCTCGTGTGCCGCTGGTAGTTCGCCACATGCCCCTAAAGTAGAATTAGCAATCGAGTGCTCGAAACCTTCAATCATGGTTAGAGAGCGACGGCTATTCCAGAGGTCCTGTTAAGAGACACTTGTGATATGAATTTCAGCTTTCTCTGGGAAAGGAAAACTGTAGAATGGTTATTGTCTCGTCTTACCGGGAGAGACATGGCACATGCTTTTAGTAATGCTTTACAAGGTAAAATGTCTGCATCTTTAGAGAGAACAGAGTCTAGCATGGTTCTATCATTCCTGCAAACAAAATGAGTCGTAACTTCTTAAGCCAAGCGACGCCAAATCCCCCGCCAGCTTATGCATTTGGTGTTTCAGATTGTTATTAAGACATTGAATATTTGCATACATACCAAAACCGCAGGTTTTGCCAAGGAAGCATCCCCTCGTTACCATGAAAGTATGGTTCTCCAATTAACAGGTCAACCTGCAAACATTTGCTGAGCTGTTTAGGTTCCAGATAAAAAGTGATCAATCTGCTTTACGCTGACATTAACTACTGCAATAAAATCTTAGTCACCTTTTTCTGATCAGAAACATGCCTATCAATGTTTCTCTTATCTTTAAGTACTTCAATACGACCAGCAGTAATGCCGTTTGCCTTGGCAATGGCTTGGACATATTGGGAACCCATATCTCGCAACCCAGGAAACAATGACATCACTCGAGATGTTTCAGAAAGACAAGTGGCAACTAGTGTCAAGAATAAACTATCATCTGCAACCAAACATAGTGGTTGAACTCTTCCTTTCAACTGCAAAAGAGTTCAACCCAGATTTTAGGTGGAGAAAGAAAACAAAACGTACATGACTTCATATGAGAGAGTGAGTGAGAGAGCTTACAGCATTCTGTACAGCACGTAACATGGCTGACCTCCATTTGCTGTCACCATAAATAGCGACTCTTTCCGGGGGCAGCAAGAGGTGAAAATCACCAGTGACAGAAGAATCACATTGTCTGATCTCATTAGTTTCTGTAGAAGCAAAATGATATGAAACACTAGTCTCGGAATGGACGGCATTCAGAGTGACCTCGTCACCCTTGGATACCAGTATGCCTTCACCTGGAATGAACCACACGCACTGCTTCCAGTGGTCACACCAGTTGCTAGCTCCTAGTAAAGCACGAAAATCATCTTTGGTCCCATAAATAAGCTCGAAAATCATTGTAAAAGGAGTCATCGTGATAAATAAACAGCTGCACTTTTATCTGTTAAACATTCTTGACTAACTTGCGTTAAGTTGCAGATCAATCCATTTAGGTGCAGTGGAGTAAAAGATTGTGCCTTCGCGATCAAGCTGAAGTACCCACCTAAAACAGATACAACAAGCACAAGTGTGGTTAAGTATAAGTATCAATCGTTAGCTAATCAACCAAGTACTTCTATGGGGGGAAAATCAAGTACTTTCACTAACCATGAGACTAAGCCATTAGCTCTACCATCATCAATTGCCTCCACCACCACTTTAGCCTCTCCATGGCTCTCAGGCCTCCTCCAGAAGTCGAATTCAAAGATTTTGAAGGGTTCTGACAGCTGGTGAGTCCTGAATTCAGTATGTATTAAATGAAATCATTCGTGCCTATCAAGAGAGCATCCACTAAACTGTGATCAAGTTGCATACCAATCTTATTTCCTCAGATAAAGAATCACAATGCAGTGGGTACTGCTGCGATTTGGGACGTATAATTGTACTCAATCCGTTCGGAACGAGATGAATCCCATCCAAAACTTGCCCTTCCTTGTTCCCCAGATCATGTAGCTCCTGTATAAATGAACTCTCGACCAGCTTATACAAACCACAAAGAAGGCAGACATTTCATTAGTAAGGCAAACATCTCAGACTTCTAACAAGGGAAATTTACAAATTGCCCGAGGTCAACAAAGGGAAGAACTTCAAGTACCTGACCGTAAGTCGTGGCTCGATATGGAACTGTCAGTGGATTTTCCACCAGCAGATTGTCGTGAGCATGTTGCAGAGATGGAATCAACCCTTCTCCCAGTAATTCTGAATCCAGAATCTCACTCACCTGCAATGCAATTGAATCATCTCAAGTCCTAAATTAGAAAAACTAAAAACAAAGATAGAGCTTATGGCTAATGGAAAACTCACGAGAACATCTGCTCTTGAAGGAATATCCACGCCCATTTGAAGCTCATCGGAGCGCTTGTTGATCAAATTAACATTCCTCCCCATGCCATTAACGTGCAGAACTTTCCGCATCAGCTTCGCCATCGGAAGATAGGACTCACAGGCCGTCACCGTCCCACCACCGCCATCGGAGCTCATAGCTCGCGCCGCCATCATCGACAGCAATCCGGTCCCAGAACTGGCAAAGATTGAAAATTTTCCCTTCATTATTTTCGGAAAACGAAAAGAGAAATTTACCTACTGTGGAATATAGCTCTGGGAATGTTAATTTTCCCGTAAAATACCCAATGTCGAGAACATGGCAAGGTTTTGTGACGGTCTTATCAATGGCTTCTCGGAAGGCGCGGTTCCTGGCGGAGTCGTTGAGCATGTCAAGATACGACGTCGTGGCGAGGAAGGAAGCGCTTGAGCCCCCGAACGATTCCTCGCCGCCGGCATCGTCCGTCTCTTCGATGACCACCCATTGGGATTCGCCGGTGAGGGGGTCGAACTTGAGCTGGAAGATGCGGTGAGTGGACTCGGAACTCATGGCTCGGCCAAGCGACGAGTCGATGCGAGTGAGGAACGGCGTCGGACGGCGAGTAGGGCTAACTTGGGCGGGAAAGGGGAGAAGTAGGGTTTTGAAACGGCGGAGGAAATTCATGCGGGTGAGAGGAAGAAGACGCGGAAAGGTGCATAGTCCGAACGGTGAGCAGCAGCCTATCAGATTATGGCTTCATTTACGGAGTAATAAATATTTCATTAATAAACCGCAAAAAGGGGAAATAGAAGGAAGAAACTTTTTTTTTTTCGGTAGTGGAATAGAAGGAAGAAACTATAAGAACGAGAGATGCCATTGCCAGACAAAAAAGCAAAATTGCTAGGGAGATCGGAACTGTGAAAAGTTCTGAGAAAATGGCCGGCGCTTCCTCGCCGTCGCCATGCATCTTCTGCGCAATCGCCGGCGATTCAAGTTCGACCAAGCTTCTACACACTGTCAGTTCCTTTCTCCTATCTCGTCACTGTAATTTCCTTTTGGTTGCATCGGAAAATCTGAGGTGAAAGCGAATTCACACTTGCTGTAGGATGACAGAGTTGTGGCGTTCCAGGACATAAGGCCTGCTGCTTTCAGGTAAATCTTGCTGCTGCCGCCATCCCCCTTTCGGTATTATCTTCAATCGGAGTTTCAGCTTCATTTTCACGCCTAATTGAATTCGGATTGGAGTCGCCTTTCTGATTCAGTCGGAGCTGTCAAAGTTCTCCTCTTTTTGTTTCTGAACCAGATTGAGCATTGCTTCCATGGCAATTTGTGCTCATTTAGTGTCAAATTCCGGTTTCGATACTGTAATTTAACAATCTTGCGAGTATATGATCCTACCTTTTGATTAGTCTAGGTTCAAGTTCAGTCCTCCAATGGACCTTTTTGATTCCGATTTTCAGAACTTTTGTGATGCCAATTTGTGCTTACTGGTTTTTTATATCATCTGCTGTTGCTGCTGCTTATGGAGGCAGCTTTGATCTCTCTTTTTGCTTGAATTAATTTGACGGCTGTCCAACGATTTGGTTAGGCATTACTTAGTGATCCCTGTGAAGCACATTGCTACGGTCAATGATCTGAGAAGAAGCGAGGAGGACCATTCTCTAGGTAAAGAAATTGGAAATCTACAATACTAGCAATTAGCAATCTGATCTTTTCTTTGAGAAATTGCTCAATAGATCTAATCCATCGACTAATGTTCTTCTATCCTTGCTACTTTATACAGTGAATCACATGTTGCAGGTGGGGCGAACTCTTTTACAGCGGGATGCTCCTGATGCGAAATACAGGTATGAAGACTGTTGCAAGATGGCATTGCAAGCCATTTAGTTCAGGCTTTAATTTCTTTGTTAGTACATGAATTTGCATGCTTTGATTTGGTTCTTTCTTCCGAGTACTTCTGTCTAATAGACGGAGTATAAGACTTAACTTGGGAAGTCTGGTTTTTTACTGCAGATTTGGCTTTCATCGACCACCATTTAACAGTGTTAATCATCTACACCTCCATTGTTTAGCATTGCCATTCATACCGAAGTGAGCTTTCCTATCCCTTCCTGCAAACTTACTACTATATATGAACGACCCAATCTTTTCAAGTTGTGATCTTTTTCATGAATCCTGTAGAGGGTTTTAATCCGGAAATGATTTGGAACAGATGGAAACACATGAAATATGTATCTCTTGGACCGCTTGGATTCATCGAAGCTGAAAGATTGCTGGAGAAGATAAAGCCTTGATAGCCACTTCTTGAGGATGATCTTTTCCTTGTGTACATTTGAGCATAAGATAGCTTCTACTCACAATTTGCTGCTGTATCCCCTTCCCCACCCCTACTGAGGCTAACTGCATTTATTCAAATTAAAATGGTTTCTAACAGTAACAATACTGCCGCTACTCTCTCCCACGACAGTTGACTGCAATGACAACAACGAGATCCCTTCTATCTGCTGGGTCCCTGAAGAAGGACTGCTCATTCTCTTGGATCCATTACTGTATCCGTTGGTCGGACCTTCCCAAATGAAATGAGGTAGCCTTCGCATGATGCGCCAACGGTAGCAGGCGTAGCCTTCGCCCTTCGGAATGAGGACGAGAGGAGTAGGCCAGGGAACTGCCGGTATCTTGTCTTCCTCAAGAAACAGAGTCCTCTGCCGCCGTCATTGTTGCCTTCCAACGAAGCTGTGCTTGGGACTATGACGACCGAAAAATTATAACAAACATGAACCTTCATGCGATAGTTTGTTTGCAATTAAATTATCGATGATGAAAGAATTTCTTTTGGTACTATACGGACAACTTAAAATGTAGAGGAGCCAAATGACACGATACAAACTTGAAGAAAGAAAAAATAAGACTGATTTTCTCCAAAATAGCCTCGCTTATTGAGCGGGATGCTTTCTTGTATTGAAGATGTTGGACGACCAAATGCGAGGCACCAACAAAATGCAACAACCATGTATTGGACACCATCGTAGCATCTTCTGGATATATTTGTTCTGCAAAAGGTGTTGGAAAATACCATGTAAAATTTACCTAAGGGGTCGTTTGGATCCAGAAAAGTGGGCAGGGATTTGGCCCAAATTTCGGCCCGTCCAGGAATTTAATCAATTCCCACGTTTGGATAGCTCTAAAAACATCCGGGATTTGGGCCACAGGGAATTTTAAATCCGGCCCAATCGGAAATTGGAAATAGCTACCCAACCCCAAGTATTTTGAATTTCGGCTTTAATTTATTTGCTTCTTCCCAGCGTGTCCCCACTATTGTTTTGTTATTCCTATTATACCCTTAACCACAATTTTCCAGACAAAACTCTAATTCTTCATCATTCGCGAGAAACCTCTCCCCTAACCTACCACCGTCGCGGTAGAAAAAAGTTCGCGATCCCGACCAGAGGAGGACGCTCGACGGCTATTGGCGGTGACAGAATCGAGGGTGTGCGAGCTTCTCCAACAGACACGTTTGCAGCGACAAGATACCAGGTTCGTCACCTCCTTATGGAGTCTGGTTGCGATTTCTAGGGTTTGCCGATTGTGTTGTCGAGGGGGTTAGGGAATGAATTTTTAGTATGTAGTGCCTTGTTTGATGCTTCTTGTGTACGTGGGTTCTTATCTTTAGGGTTCATGAATTTATGCGGGCGAGCTTATCTGGGTTCTTATCAATCTTCTGTTTGTTTTTCTGGGTTCATGAATTTATGCTTCTTCTGTTTGTTTTTATTATGAATCACTGTGGGTTCTTATGATTAGTGTATGCTTCCTCTGTTTGGGTTCTTATAATATCCAACATCCTTAGCTTTTCCCTTAGAAACCCTCTGTTTGGGTCTCCACTACTCAACTTAGCTTTTTGTTGTAGTATCCAACAGAGTTTTGAGTTAGATTACAACCTGACCAAATTAGTGTTCCAGTTTGGGTGTGAATTACTCTGCTTCTCTCGGGGATATAGCACACCAACGACCTTATCCTCCAATTTAAGGAAATGAATTAGTTATCTAACTTCTCTCCAGTGAAAAAAGGAAGAGCTCTCTTTGTCATGTAAATTACAACCAATATAACATACTGTACAAGTTCCACAATGTTTTCACAGTTCCACCTTATGCTTTCAAGAACTCATCCTCTCTCAATCACATCAAAATGTAGACGGTACTTGACAAGAAAAACAAAAACTCTGAACACAAAGAAGAATAATGGCAAAACAAGGTCACCAAATTGATTTCAGTGAGGCAAACATCATCTAACTTGTTTGGTAATATCACCTGTATCAGTAGCAAAACGATGCATACGTCCAAGGAATCAAAACCTCCAGCTTTCTCAATGACTGCTGGGGCCACGAACCTGAGTTCTTAGTACTAACACAAAAGAAGAGACATTTGCTTCCACTGAAACCCGGGACTCGGTGTGCGGTGTCATAACCATTCCCTCTACTGCTACTGCATGGCTCGATGACTATAATTAATTAGCTTAGCTGCAGTTTACTGCAGCGTGGTGGACAATCTGCATTTTATTTCACCCTTTTTGTTCAATCTAATTCATTCACTATAATGATTAAGTTCTTCTGTACCAGTAGTTAAGTGGCAGCCTCCAGTCCATTATTCTGCTACTGCATGACTCTAGGTAACAGTTTAGGTCTACTTCTGCATACGAGAAGGCTTAGGTCTAGTTCTCTCACCTATGTGCTTGAATTGATATCGGAATTCAAACTCCCTTCTAGTGGGATGTCACATCATCTGCTATATGTTGCTTTTGTTGTTTCCTGCTACTATGGTTGTTTCAGTTTATTTTATCAGCATCTTATTATTGTTGTTTTTACCTGCCCTTATAAGGATGGCTCGTCTGTCAAGCATGTCTTCATCAGAAAGGCGAAAGATTATGGCAGCAATTAGCGCATTTTGGAATCTGTTAGTTATGTATATTGATTTGGGAATCAAGGCTCCTACATCTAAAGCACTTAAATCCCATAATTGGTAGGCAGCCCATTGATGGGTACATTGTTAGGCACTACGATAGGCAGAGGTTCCTCTACCGATGTACGCAAAGTAGTGATACGGAAAGCCATAGGAAGATTAGAATGAACCGCAACCTATTCAAAACTCTATGTGAACTACTAGTTGCCGAAGGGCATCTTACAAAGACGAGAAATGTAGAAATAGAGGAAATGGTACTTACCTTCCTACTTACCTTTCTCATAGCGATAAGAATAGGAGCATAGCTGTAGATCTTAGGAGGTCTACAGAGACCATATACCGGTCATTCCATCGCGTGTTGCGGGCAATTCTAAGGCTGAATAAGATGCTCATGAAGAAGCCCGAACCAATTCCAGCTGACTCAACCAACAATAGGTGGAAGTACTTTAAGGTTAGCAATTCAATGAACTCAATCTGAAAATCAAATTCAACTCACTAATTAAATTTCTTTGTTTAAAACCACTTATCCTTCATTGGCGTAGAATTGCTTAGGAGCACTTGATGGCACTCACATTGATGTCAGACCACTAAAGGAAGAACAAACAAAGTATCGAGATAGGAGTGGAGATCTGACAATAAATTGTCTGGGAGTGTGCACACCGAACTTGGAGTTCATTTACTGCCTCGCTGGTTGGGAAGGATCTGCACATGATGCACGTGTGTTGAGGGATGCTTTGAATAGGCCAAATGGACTTTTTGTGCCTCAAGGTAATAGGTGTACCTAATAGGTTAAGGTTCTTGTTCTAATCATTGAATTATGTCTAATGAGGGTTACTTCTTTTACTAGGATGTTACTATTTATGTGATCACGGTTATGGCAACAGTCCTGGGTTCTTGACCCCCATCCGGGGGCCAAGATACCATGTTGATGGACAACGTCTTCCTTTAACCGCTGAGGCATACTACAATTGGAGGCATGCACAAGCTAGGAACGTTATTGAACGAATTTTTGGCATCATGAAGATGATATGGGCGATTCTTAGAGATGCAACTTGGTTTTCTATACCGGTTGTCGCACGAATCGTTGTAGCCTGTTGTTTGCTCCATAATTTCATTAAAAGGGAACATGGTGCTGACATTTATGAAAGAACTTACCGAGATCAAGCAACTTCGGAACCTGAAGTTGTTGAAGTTGAACCTGCTGGTATTTTTGGAACCCAACCGAATGAAGCATGGAATCAGTTTAGGAATGATATTATGGCCGAAATGTGGCAGAATAGGCCAGCAAGATTTAGGTCTCAGTAGGATGTAGTGTTCTTGTTTGTTTGTAATATTGTTGGTACTGTGTAATGATTGAGTTCTTTGTATTTTCTGATTTATTCTGTACTGTGATGGATCATGTAATGTTTTGACCCTGTTGCTATGTTTGTATGAAATGCTACAGTTCTGTTGTTCTTTCCGGGTCATTTAAATAGCAAAATGGAATTTACACATGAATTATACCCAAAAGGCAGAGTAACCTTTAAACATGGTATCTATTTGAACTTTGAAAAAATGTTATTCTGCTGGTTAATTTGCTGACCACTGAATTGGCAACTGATACACAGTGAGCATGTCTTGCAGGATGGGGAGAAAGAGATGTGCTGGTGGAGATAAAGATGTAGCAACTTCCAGCAAGTACAAATTTTGGCCTGAGAAGCTTGACAAGCCTTTAGTCGAGTGCATTTTGGAGCTGATGGTGAAGGGGATCATTGTGGATGGCAACTGCAAAAATGGAGGATATGACGCTCTCGAGAAGATGTTGGAACAAAAGGTACCTGACTGTGGGATGAGGGCAAAGCCCAATATTGAAGGACGATACAAGGGTTTGAAGAAAAAGTGGCATGCTATCACATTTATGAGGAATCAAAGTGGATGGGGGTGGGATGAGGCCAATAAATGCGTCATATGTCCTGATGAGAAGTGGGACAATTTTGAAGAGGTATGTATACTCCCTAGCCTTTTACTTTCTGTTTGGTGCTACTTTGTGGAATTTTAGCAGCAGTAGTAATATTAGTAGGTGGATTTATATAGGCTCGTGTCGAAGTTCTGAGGAATGGATCATGCTGCCATTTCCATGTGTTTGTCTGTCTGCACACGTAGCTAGGAGAAGAAGCTGTGGTTCATGTGTCCCACTTATTACGATTGCATGTCTCCATGTGAGTGATAATTGGTTATTGGAGGGCTTACAAAGACCAACCACGGAGCACTTCTACTATGCTATATAGTATTGGTGCTTTAATGTACAACTTAAAGTTGTACCATAACATTAAATGTATAAGTTTAGATTGTACCATAAAGCAATTTGTACCTTTATGTGATGGTACAACTTTAAGTTGTACCGTACAACTTAAAGTTGTACCATCACATAAAGGTACAAGTTCAAGTTGTACCATAAAAGAATTTGTACAAAAAGTATTGGTACAATCTGAAGTTGTACTATAACGTAAATGTACAATTTTAAGTTGTACCATAAAGGTAAAACTCTATAGCACCAATACTATATAGCATTGTAAAATTTCTCCCAACCACGTCACCAACAAAACAACAAGCCAATTTGTTTCCTTGTATTATAATTGACATGTTATTTTCCTGCTGTGTGGTTTGAGTTGGTCACTCTAGATTGGATCTCTGATCTGAATTACTAACTAAGCATGATGGCATCAATAATGGTTCTTCTTCTTAGTCGTCTTCCTTTTCGGTTGAGGCTGGTACTCGCTCATAATCATAACCACACGCGTTTAGCGTTAATCAATCAGAATCTTTGACTCCAACTCACTATTCCCCTCTCTCTCTCTCTCTCTTCTGGTACTTGCAACAGTTAACCCACATGCATGCGAAGCGCCAAAGAGTTGGCAGTTTTAGGTTTTACCAAAACCAGAAAGAAAGAATTATCAGGACAGGACAGTGATCATGGTTGTTGTTGGATGGGGGTATATATAGTGGAGTTTGACAAGAATGCAAACAAGATGTTTGGTTATGTGTAACTATATCGTTGCCAGCCTAGTATTTTACTCTCTTTGCAGATAAATGAAGGGTCGACATTCATTCCTTTACTGCCAAACGCAATACCCACATTTTTGCAGTGCCGTGCTGGTTTTCCTGTACCTCTCTTGCTCTTTCTCCATGATAGAAATCCTTGCCACTTGGCATGTGATTGACTGCTCTGCTGGAACATCTTTAGGCTGCATTTCAGCATTTATATGTGGGTTCTATTGATTCTTATTTTTGGTTGCTTATCTTTTCTCTTATGTTCCCTTTCTCACTTTTTCTCACTTTTCTGGTTTGTCTTATCAGAAACATCCGAATTGCGGAGGTCTGAACAAGAAATCATTCCCGGTGTATGATGACTTGACTCTAGTGTTCGCCAAAGGACGTGCAAGCGGAGAGCATGTGTACGATATCGATCCCCCGGACTGTGGAGGGGAACCAATCAAGGATGAGGGTACTCAAGCCGTCCCACTTAATGAAGCTGAGGAGGTTGTGATGGCTGAACTTAATGCAGAGCTGGAAGCACAGAAAATGCAATCTGCAAGTGTTACAGCCTCGAGTGATGGGACAGCAGGAAAGAAGAAGAAGAGGTCCCAATATGTAGATGACAAGATTGACTTTGTTGTGGGTGAGATGAGTGAGCTTCGCCCAATGATCAAGCAGTCAATGGAAACCATCGCTAGAGCACTTGGTGAGAGCGACGACCTTATCGAGAAGAGAACCAATTTGCTGAAGACACTTGAGGAGCTTGAAGGGCTCACTAGAGCTGGGATTTTAACAGCATTAAGGAAGCTTTCTAACAATGACAGGGATTTGATGATCTTCTATGGCTTGGAAGACAAAGCTGACAAGTTGATGTTCGTGACAGGGCTGCTTGGATGAAGACATGAATTAGATTTTGTGGGGAGTTATATATGTTGGTTTACTTATGTTTGAACTAAGAACTTGGACAAGGCTGTTATATTTTGAGATTCTGTGGGAAGTTATGTACGCTGGTTTACTTATGTTGAACAAGAACTCGGACAAGTCTGTTGGAAGTCATGTATGCAGGATTACGTATGTTGGTTTACTTATGTTGAACAAGAACTTGGACAAGTCTATGGGAAGGTATGTATGCATGTTTATGTATGCTGGTTTTTTTGTTACCATTTGTTGTTGTATGGATTCATCTACTTAACATTCCAATTCTATTAATATGATGGTGTCATGTTTACAGGAATAGAAAATTGAGTTTCCACCTCTCTCTCTCTGATACCCTCCATCAATTTGATACAGCAAGCTGTTTTTTCCTCTCATGCAGCAAGTGTTGTATATATACATGTTATGCATCAGAAGACTCCCCTGCTTTGCAAAAAAGTTCCCTTCCCCTGCCCTCAATTACTATACCATACAGAAGCCTCCATGTTTTTCCCCTGCCTTGCATAACCTCATTGCCACACTGCCCTCTCTCTTTCTCTATGAACATCAAACCTCTCTCACCGGAGGCGATGACCATGCTTTGTCGCAAGACGGAAATTACTTAACATCCACCGTTGCCCATCAATTACTATGAGTTAAGAACTGGGAAAGAAAAGTTGCTGCTAGCGGGACGACCCGAGGCTTCGAATTTACAGCTCCACATCATGGGTTCATAAAAGCTTATGCAAGATCGGCGTTCAGATGCTAGTCTCCGGCAACGGGGATCACCTGATGGAATTGGCTCTAGACGTAACGGTGGAGGGAGAGGAGGAAGTCAATTAAATTTCTCGTCGAGTTCGACATTGGCTTCTACAAGGGTATAATGGTACTTTCCACAATTGCTTTAAATTTAAATTCCCCAACTAATAAATCCCTCACCCATAAACAAACAAACTATTTACAGAAAACCTGCCTATAATTAACCAAGGTTTTCAATTACGTGATTGTGGGCCAAATCCCCGATTAACAAACTTCCGGATCCAAACGAGCCGTAAAGGTATTGGAAATCCATTCCTCGCAAGAAATTTCATTGAGGTGGCATCTTTGCCACAATGCTGTTGGGACTTCGTGGCGTGGCTAAACACAAGATGTCACTCCCACTGAACTGAACCCTCGCCACCGTGACGTCATTTTTAATTAAACAACTCGGTTCTTGGTATTGCAGTGCTGACAAAATCCACACCTTGTTGGCTTCCGCATCATTGAGCTCACAATCCGGCAATATCGATCTCATAACACCGGTGTCACAGTTCCTACAAAACAAATGTGACTACGGCGGTGTTTCTGCTTTGTAGGATTGCATACTTTTGTATGCATAGAAGAAATGAAATACAGCTTTGCTTCCCATGGTCTTAGAACCGAAACACAACCGTTTAGAGAAACATGGTTGTGTCGTGTTGGCTATTTCAACTTCCGAATTGACAAAAGGATAAGGACTAAAGCAACATTGCTCGTGGAAAATAAACATGCATTGGCTGCGAGATGTGGCCAATGCAGTTTTCCGTCTTGCTCTCCACTAAGCAACACCGTTTCCTAGTGCTCCTGTGATACTGGACCTACAATCTCATGCGTCATTGTTTTCCACTAAAATACTGTCATTTCTTCTCACGCGACACCATTGTAATTAATTCAGTTGCCCCTTTGAAATTAATTAAATCTCGAGACTCAGTAATGTGACATTCAATTTAGACCAAAATAATTTTAGGTGTCAATAGCTAACCGTTGATAATGTTGATGTTCGCAAGTTGCCAACTGTTCCAAGTTGATGAACATATCCATCAAGCCAAGGATATGGAGTTGGAATTTGTGTCAAATTCATATGGTGATTTCCAAATACTTCTCTAGTGTATTACTTGTCAACTTCAACAACTAGTGATTTGAAATTCCTCCTAACAAAAGAGTAGACCCATTTATAAAATTTTGAAAGTTTAGGTACTATAGTGTGAGGCTAAACATATAAAGGTACCAAAATGTAAATTTATCACCAAAATTTCTGGACGTTTTTGTAAAATTTTAAAAGTTTAGGTACTAAATTATAAGAAAAATAATTTTGGGCACCAAAATTTGTAATAAGTGACCAGAAAATAAAAAAAAAAAAATCTAAAATTCAAAATAAATTATAAATAAGCATCCAAATAATGCATTTTTCAAATACTAGAATTTCAAATGCATTCATTTTAAATATTTTTATACATTTGAAATATACCTATCGAAACACACCATTAGGGGTTTTAGCTTAAACAAGTGGGTTGATTTGAATTACATTGAGGTAGTAGTCTCCCTGAATACTTTGTGGGAAGCAGAACTACTTAATTTGTGGGATTCATTTGTGGAACAAGTTAGCCCACCACAATGATTGCTTTGGAATTTTCAATTCATTGCTGCGGGCATGAATTGGAAGAAGAAAGGAATGATGAATCTGTGTTAGGCTAAGCAAAAAGACAAGACAGGGGTCGGTCGGGAGGACGCGTTAGCCTTTGAGTTGAAGGGTAGGTGAGCCCTCCAGTTGCATGCATATACGCCAGAAAAGATGGTGAACTGGCCTACGGCTACCCTCCCTCCATTAGGTTAGATAATCAATCAACCCTCTAAACAAGTGGTCCAGTAGTGCACAACAAGTCCGTTCAATTCAATGATTTCAATCCCTATAAAAATTATGTGCTTAAATTGTATGATCACATTTCAGACAGGTCAAAATAGAAAGGAGAAGAGAACACTATCATGAATTTGTTTATTAATAAAGACGTTTGCATTTTCCCCTTATGTATATTGAAAGTTCATCATCGGCCAAATATGAATTTGGCAGCTTTATACTAATAAGGGGACAAGAGAAAGGCTGGCTTTGGATTGGTAATTAGGAGATGTCATTTAGTGATGGCAATGGAGCGGGCTGGTATCTCAATACTCATGTTCCGTCTCATGTTACTGTGAGTCGGGGCAGGAAATATCTGTGTTTACCTGTCATTTGAAATATATACGTAAAATTTTACTTTTCATGTCAAAAGTAGATACACATGCCCCGCCCCATCACGAGTCAGGTCGAGTAATACC